TTAGCCTGCGTGTTTGCTTGAACTGCTCCTTTGACATTTACCATTTTTTTATGAGGAGACTCAGAATGATTTACTTTTATTCAGGTGAACAATATATATATATATTTTAAGCCAAATACATCCTATTCAGGTGTTCTTTAAGAAGTATTATATGTGACCCTGGAGCACAAAAGCAGTCTTAAGTCGCTGGGATATATTTGTAGCAATAGCCAAAAATACATGGTATGGGTCAACATTATCCATTTTTCTTTTATTCCAAAAATCATTAGGATATTAAGTAAAGATCATGTTCCATGAAGATATTTTGTAAATTTCCTACTGTAAATATATCAGAACTTAATTTTTGATTAGTAATATGCATTGCTTATACAACTTTAAAGATGATTTTCTCTTCAATTCAATTAAAAAGCTATAAATATAAAAAGTGTAATAAAAAATAAAATGAAATTTATTTAGATATATGTATATTAAATATAATAAGATATAATAATAAATTATTAATAACTAAAATTAATAAAATTAAATATTTATATATTACATATAATAATAAATAAAATTATATAAAAGCTTCAGTTAACTCACTTAAATCAGTTGCTCTGTCAGTATTTAATCAATTGGTCTTTTAATCTAGATTGTGTTTCCGGGTTATAGACTTGCTTTCAGATGCATCAGATATTTTTTTTACAAACACTCTCATATATGAGTGTGTCAGCTGATCAGTGGAGTGGATCAGACAAAGTGTCCCCCAGCACACAGAGCTGTGACCTTTGACCTGTAGTCTGAGCCACTGACAGTAAAGCACAGACATTCACTTTACACACAATACACTATGTGTGCTACATTTAGGTAGTTGCAAATGACTTATTATAACATGCAAATGTTTCCATTAGCAAGATTTTCGGTTGTAGCCATTTCACCATTTTAATCTGGTTTTCATTTTCACTTAAATAGTGTCTTGTGTGGTGTCAAATGAGTTTATAAATGTAACAATATAACATGCAGTCGCACTTAATTTGAGATTCTACAAACTGCATATATAGTGTTAAAATAAATGGAAAAAATGTTTAGTAAAATGTCAGGTTGATTTTATTTAGGATAAAAATATTATTTAATGTGACTCAATCCACTTCTTTAGGTTATATTAACATGTTACTTTTTAGTTTTATAGTCGATAGATAAACAACACAACAACTGCAACTTTTAACTCTTTACAGTGTACAGGTTCACCTAAACCAACAGGATTCTGTCACTTACTAAAATATAGATTTTTTTTCAGTAAATGATCAAATCCTCTTGAATAAATTGCACAGTATGTACAGTCTGTATATTGTTCTTGAGTTGCTGTATGATTATTGATGTTTCATGATCAGTGTTTTGCATTCAGAGACTTTAAAATACCAAAATTAAAGGAAATAAAAAGTTATTTAAACTTTAAACTTTTAAAAATCTATGATTAAGAATGTTCTGTTCTATTTGGAACCTTATTTAATCTTTTTTCTCTTTATCCACTTTATATATCCTGGTTTTATTCAGGATGAAAATATTATTTATTATTATGACTCAATCCGCAGAACTATAACTTTTTAAGTGTTTACAGAATGCAGTTTCTTATTTTTCTGTAATAAGTGTCAAATGATTTCTCTTAATCCTTTTAATATATCCCGGTTTTATTCAGAATAAAAATAACATGGCTCAGTCCACCTAACTATTTACATTGTCAACATATATTTTTAGTATTTTAAGCCTTTAATATCTTCTATACTGTAATGTAACAGCACCTTTTAACTCCTTACATCATGCAGCTTCACCAAAATCTTTTCTTTTTTTTGTCTGTAAGTATGCTTTTTACTGCATAGGTTATAGATCAAACTGTAGGAATCGGTCTACATTAGACACACACACACACACACACACACACACACACACACACTCCATTGCCTTCATCCAATCTGTGCAGGCATCCAGTAAGAGCCTCGCAGCTGCTGGAGAGTCCCAGTGACCAGTGAAGCCTTCAGCTATCCATCATTACATTACTGCAGTGTGTGTGTGTGTGTGTGTGTGTGTGTGGTCTTCAGTTGTGTAAGAAGTTAGCTGTTTTTTTACCACACCACTGAGTCTGATCTGTTTTGCTCAAGGTGAATCAGGGACAGTGGAAAACAGCGCGACCTTCCTCGCTCAACTTTATAATTACTCACTCCAACACTTCGTCGAACACTAGTCATTTAGAGTTGAAGGTGTGTGTGTGTGTTGTATTTAGTGCAATTCCCCGTTTGTGGAGGGTCAAAGCGTCCTGCAGCGTCCCGTTCCTCCCCCTCCCGCGCTCACATCGGGGTTAATGCAGGAAAACGGGTGTCGCATTGATTACATCAGCCCTCCAATGATGTTATAGTTACGTCAGGGATTGCCTTTATTTGGTCTAAGAGGAAATGATATCATGCTTTGCTGGTTTTTAGGTCTGGCTGTTGCCGCAGCGTTCCGGACGTGCCATTTTGAGTTTTTTTTTATAGTTTTAATGAAAATGCTGCTTTCGTTTGACCAGATTTGTGATTGATCAATTGATCTGTTATTGCGTGTTACGGGTCAAATCTGACACGTCACGTCTTCTGACAGTATTTCATGTTAAGTTAGTGCACACTGAATAGTGTGTGAGAGGGAAAGCGCGCATGTGTTCCCCTCCGTGATTAATGAGGGCTTCTCCGACAGCATCAGTGACCCGTGAAACACAACTCTTAGAGAAGCATTCGTTTTGTTTCGGCTGAATCTGGGCAGGCGAAAGATTTTTCAGGAAAGAGGCTGAATGCACGACTCCACTAGAACAGTGAATCATTTCTGAGAATCGGATCTTTTGATTCATTTGTTATTTTATGTCTTCATGTGCTCCCAATCCTTGTGATTTGACATTTTAAATATGTTTTAATAAATGACTGTGCTGAATATTACACTCAAGATTATGCTGATGCATTTAGAGTCTGTGAACCGGTTCATTTTAAAAGAACCAACTCAAAAAAAAAAAAAAAAAAGATTTGTTGATGAATCAGGTCTCTCCACATTTTTTAATACTCAGAATCAGAATGAGATGCATTGCCAAGTATGCTTTCATTCACAAGGAATTTATCTTGGTGACAGAAGAATTCATTAATAAAATAATAAGTATTTTTTTTAAAGAATAAATGTACTTATATTATACATACATAAATAAATAAATACATAAATATATAATAAATGAATTAATAAAAAATTCTGTTAATGTTTTTTTTGTTTGTTTTATTGGAGTCTTCAGTCTGCAGTTATTCTCAGGCGTGTCTCAGATATTTGGATTACAAATGCCAGAGTTAATGAATATTAATCATATTCTAATGATGATCAGCATATTGGCCAGACTGAAATTCATCCGCAGTTATCAAATGTCAGCTCAAATCAAGATGCACAAAACATTCTGCAAAATAAAAGCTGTTCAGTCATTCTTGGGTTCAGCTTGTTCTTGTCAGGAACTGTTTTTGGCCGTATATTGTTCTTGAGTTGCTGTATGATTCTTAATGTTTCTGAATTTAATGCATTTTGGTTTCATGGGCTAAAACACCACAACTAAAGGAAATAAAAAGTTCTTTCTGGAACTTCAAAAGGTTCTTGTATGATTTAGAATGTTCTGGTTCTATGGAACCTTTACTGTAATCTTAATTCTCTTATGAATAGAATAGAATGGAATAGAATAGAGCCTTTGTGTGATGCACCAAACCTTCTGGAAGTGTTTGGGGTGGAAGGACAGGACAGATGAGACTGTACTATAGTATCGATGTACTTTACTGTGGTATTGAATTGTTGTGGGCGTCTTCATCACAGATGGAATATTCTCTGTCATATTATCTGGTTTTCTCATTCTCAGGGATATCTGGTATCTGTGAGACCGACTGATCATTTTCAAAGAGATTTGCTGAGTTTACTTGGTTCAGAGAAAGCGTGTGTTTGTGTTTATTTTTCAGATGTGAGAAGATAAAATGAGATGAGTGTGTGTTTCTGCCGGAGAGAGGAATGGTGCTGCAATGCAGCAGGACTCTTCTGTGTTTGAGAGCCTGAGAAGATCCTCCAGACACACACGTGTGTGAAGTGTCAGTCTGCGTGTGCTGGTCTCTTCTTCTTCATTTTTCTTTGACTCTGTCCTGTTCATGTCCACATCTCTTCCTGTGGAGGTGAACAGTGTGAATGCAGTTAAGCTGGGCTCTCTGTCCTCTGCCCGCTGTGCTCGTCTGATTTATGGCTCTCCTGTGTTTCTTCAGGGCACATGAGCAGGAACACCTGAGATCTGCAACGCTTTCACTTTTCCTATTACAGCTATTCAGTTAAAACCAAAAATACCCTGCTAATTCAGATCTGAATAGATAGATAGATAGATAGATTGATAGACATTGAAAAAAGAATGCAATTTTATTTACACATTTTTAATTCTAAAACTATATAATATATATATCTACCAGTCAAAAGTTTTTGAACGGTAAGATTTTTCATGTTTTTTAAAGTATTCTCTTCTGCTCACCTAGGCTGCATTTATTTGATCTAAATACAGCAAAAGCAGTAATATTGTGAAATATTTTTACTATTTAAAATAACTGCTTTCTATTTGAATATATTTTATAATGTAATTTATTCCTGTGATGCGCAGCTGAATTTTCAGCATCATTACTCCAGTCTTCAGTGTCACATGATCTTCAGAAATCATTCTAATATGCTGATTTGCTGCTCAAGAAATATTTTATTAGTAGTATTATTAGTATTATTATCAATATTTAAAACAGTTGAGTAAATTTTTTCCGGATTCTTTGATGAATAGAAAGATCGAAAGATCAGCATTTATCTGAAATAAAAAGCTGAAATAAAAATAATATTATACACTATACCATTCAAAAGCTTGGAGTCAGTATATATATATATATATATATATATATGCTTATAGTCTGTGCCTGCTGTAGAGAATGAAAATATGACTCTGTTTCTTCTTCCCATAGTTTCCTTCTCCTTTGAGTGAATGAAGCTGTCCGTCAGAAGGAACCGCACACATCACACACATCTCCTGTCCACTGCTGTCCGTCTCCAAAGCACTTGAGCCGTTGATCTCATTCTCTGAAACACACGTTTGATTCCTGACTGCTGGAATCACCAAACAGCTAAACTCTGCACAGATGGAGGACCCCTACAGAGACAAGACGTCTCTGGTCAAAGGCGCTCGCGACATCGCCAAGGAGGCGAAGCGCCACGCCGTCAAGAAGGTCAACAAAGTGGTGGACCACGCTTCGAACGAATACTCCAGCCGCAGCTACAGCCGCTTCGAAAACGATGAAGATGAGGGCGGTGACGAAGACCGTTACTATTATCAGGATGGCCAGGCTCAGCGGGAGGATGACGAGGGATCCAGCGACGCCACCGAGGGCCACGACGACGAGGACGAGATCTACGAGGGCGAGTATCAGGGCGTGCCTGCAGGGGGCGGGGTCATGGATGGGCGTGGCCAGCCGCCGGTGGAAGGGATGAAGGACAAGCGAGAGCTGGAGAAGGAGAGAGAGGCGGATGAGGAGGAGCTGGCGCAGCAGTACGAGCTCATCATCCAGGAGTGCGGACACGGACGCTTCCAGTGGCAGCTGTTCTTGGTGCTCGGCCTGGCGCTCATGTCCGACGGGGTGGAGGTGTTCGTGGTGGGCTTCGTGCTGCCCAGCGCTGAGACCGACATGTGTGTGCCCAACTCTGGAGTCTCTCTCTCTCTCACTCTCTCTCTCTCTCTCTCTCTCTCTCTCAGTTTAAAAAAACGTAAGTTTATTCGTTTAGTTTTGTATGTTAAACAATGATTTTATTGCCAAGTCAAGTTGCCACTTGATCTCACATTAAAATGCAGCTGTTCTTGGTGCTCGGCCTGGCGCTCATGTCCGACGGGGTGGAGGTGTTCGTGGTGGGCTTCGTGCTGCCCAGCGCTGAGACCGACATGTGTGTGCCCAACTCTGGAGCCGGGTGGCTGGGTGAGTCATGAGAGAAAACTTCATTTTATGACATGGAAAAGTAAGAAAAATGAAAGTAGGTTCAAAAGAAGCCACATTGCCAAGCAGGAGAAAACACACCCGGTACAATAATGTCAGTGCAATTAAACTACAGTATTTCTATTTACAATATTTTAAAAAAGCTGTTTATTGTGATCCTTTGCAAATTATTAGTTGAACGTTGCCATATTTTATCATATTTTGTTTTGTATGTTAAACAATGATTTTATTGCCAAGTCAAGTTGCCACTTGATCTCACATTAAAATTTGCAAAATCGCAAAAACAAGTTATTACTTTAATAAGCATAAAAATACACAGTAAACATAAAAATAGTCAGTTCTGAATAGCTTTATGATATTATTGATTGATATCTTTTTTTAAAGAAATTAATACTTTTATTCCACATTGATGCATTAAATTGATCAAAAGTACCAGTAAAGACATTTATAATTTTACAAAATATTGCTATGTATTATATATATATACAGTATACACAAAAATATGAAGCAGCTTCATGTTTTCAACATTGATAATAATCAGAAATGTTTCTTTAGCAGAAAATTCAGCTTTGATCACAGCAATAAATGGTGTGTGTGTGTGTGTGTGTGTGTGAGAGGGCTTGTATATGGTGTGTAATGTGGGTGGTTGGGTGGCGTTTGCCAGCGATATCGTTCTGTGTCGTGCTTGTTTGATGGTTTGCGCTTGTGCGTGTGTGTGTGTGTGTGTGTGTGTGTGTGTGTGTGTGTGTGTGTGTGTGGGTAGAGACTGTCGTTGTATTGTTCGATGATCTCTCTGGGTCTGGATGAGTTTATTGTTTTGGCAGCAGGTAGAGCAGCACATGTGTGGGTAGATTTGAGCGTATTTAAGAGGAGTGTGTGTGTGTGTGTTTCTTTCAGTCTGTCTCTTATATACGTTTCTATTTATCTATTATATGCAGATCTCATATATACAATATAACAGACTTAAATCAAATTAAAGAGCTGACGTTCTCTGGATGTTGTGGCAGAACACTGTCATGTTTAGTGTTTATAATAATTAAGGTTTGTTGTTTTAGTTTTAATAAACTTCTTAAAAGGGATAGTTACTAATGCACAATATTAGTATTAGTGTTAGTTGAACACTGGGGTCTTTTATCATGTTTTTAGGTTGCTTTGGTAGTTGCCACATGATGTATGTATTTTTCACCCAAATTCCTTTTTTTTTTCTTCTCTCTCTCTGGATTAATGGTTAAATCAAATTGTGTATCAAAACGCATATCCAATTAACTGATTTCCCAAAATACAATTTTGCAACAATTTATTAAAAGTTTAACAAAAAGTACAGTTTTAGGGCCCTATACAATGTTCTGCACAACAGAGGTTTACTGTTTAAATTTAAACATGGAAAAAATGTGTGATATCATAAAAAATAAAGTTATTATTTTTTATTATTTATTATTTTGAGAGGTACATTATGCTGTTCAATACTAATATATTTCTGCCACAATTTCTTCAAGTTAAACCAGACTTTTATTTTGATGGGTTGCGGTGAAGGTGTTTGAGTTTCTCTGTGTCTGTGTGTGTGTGTCTGTGTGTGTGTGTGTGTGTGTGTGTGTGTGTGTGTGTGTGTGTGTGTATGATATGACTAGGGCTGCACGATAAATCGCATGCGATATTTAATGCGCATCTTGTCAGAAAGCCGGTTCTGTAATCAGCGGTAAATCTCCATCACCTGCGGGCTTTCACATTGAGCAGCATTAA